CTGAGGGCAGGGCGCGGGCGGCAGCTTCGCGCCCCCCGTTTCCTGGGTGTTTTCCTCAAGCGCGTTTCCAAAGGGAAGCTGTCTCCTTGCCCCGCGGTGTCCTCGGCCCCCCCTAGGCCTCCCACCCCAAGGGCTGTCCCAGGCACAGCACGCAGCGGGTGCATCTGGGCACGAAGTGAAGTTGTCCTCAGGGGCCGACGTCGGCACCCAGCACTTCTTTCCCAAGGCAACTTATGATCTATATGAATAGGCCTGCACCTCTTCCCGTGAGGAGCCCCCCGGGCTGTCCCGTGGGTGCTGAGGCCGCGGCAGCGAGGGCTTTGCTGCTGAACTCCAAAATGCAGCTGTGTCACCGGCCCTGCTTCGTCCCCTGAGTGGCTTGAACCACCCTCAGGTCACCTTCAAACCTCCTCTTCCCTGCAGGAATGTGTGCAATTCGCTTTGCCCTTCCTTGTCTTTGGCCCAGTATCGGTCGTACCTCACGCGCCCTGAGGAGATGTAATTGCTTCATGTTTTTTTCATCCCTGGGAGAGATGTCGCTGGGATGAAAATAACTTGCAATTAGAGTATTAATTCGCCCAGCGCTCCTGAGATAAGCCCGGGTTGAGAATTCCATTATTAAGTGGGTATTTGGGGCAAAGAAGAAAGAAAAGGTTATGTCCTCATTTAACATCGCAGCCAGCTCGTCTCCTTTCTGTGAGGTAACCCCACTGCATGCCGCCGAGTTGGGCCCCATGTTGTGCCCAAAGTAGGGGAATTGAACATTAGTGTAATTAAGGGACGTAACCATGCTTTAATGAAAAAGATTATGACTTTCAGCGTGAAGGTTTGCACTCACACTGTGGGTACGTGCCAGTCAGAAGCAGCAGCAGCCCCCGCCGGGCAGGACGGGCTCTCGGAGAACAGGCTATTTTATTTCCACTCTACGCTTTGGTGTCTTCTCAGGGAATCCGGATTTTATAATTGCTGCGGGAGAGCGGAGCCGCGCTCGCTGTGGCTCTCTGCAGCCAGACGGCCTCGCCCTGCCTGCCCTGCGTGGAGTTTAACGCCGTTGAAGGTTTTTTCACCTCACCGAAGA